ATGTCTATGAAGGCACCACATTTGCGGCCTCCTACATCGACTTCCACCACGAAATGTTCCCCTCTAGGACCTTTCCTTAGCGCCACCCAAGACTCTCGAGGGTCCTTGTTTGACCACTCACTCTCCAAGTCTTCTAAGGCTTCAGACACATCTAACGTACAGAGCATAGTTTGGTCTAGATGAGTCTGCGGGGTGACTAAAGAGTCATTAGCTTGGGCCTTCTCATGAAGTGGGGAGGGTATCGGACCCTCTTCATCTTGAGTAGAAGCAGCTAAAACTTCCACCGGCCTCACGCGTTTCCTGAGCTAGAAGCCTGGGAATAAGATGCCCCCATCTTTGGAGGTATCTTTTGCGTAACCTTTGCGTTCTGGCACTTGTACTGCAAGTGTCCGTATTCCCCGCAGTTAATACAAGCGCCACGTACTCGGTGGTCACGCCACACGTCTTAATCAAGACCTGCCTTGACCCAATCAGCCACTTTGGTCTGATTGGAGGCGGCCTTCCCTTGACTCTTTGGTTGGCCCTTCCCTCGGCCACCTGCCTTAGCCCTTACAACTGCGGCAAGGGTGCTACCCTCAGCGGTCTCCTCGCCGTCGTACTCTGAATAGTCCATCAGGCCAGTGAGCTCGTCAATTTCCGTTTGAGTCCCATCGGACTCAACCATCATCAACTTAGCCCCCTTCTTCTTCCACTCCTGAGGACTCTTCTTCTTCTTCGTGTCATTCTGAGAGGGTTGAGCATTGCCTAGAGTGGCCTCCAAATCTAAGGCTTTTCTAGACAACGTCTCAAACGAATGGTACTCGATGCGTGCCTCGCTGGCCAGCAAGTTTCTGATGTTCTCTAGAAGACATCTAACAAACGTAGTCAACAGGAACTGGTCACTGTAGTTGATGCCAGGAACGAGGATCGGACTCTCTACAGTAGTCGTAAGGTCTCTGACCGACTTGAACTTTCGTTGGTCTAGTCTGTTAATCGCATCGGTGGCTTTTTGTGCCTCCTGTGGATTATGCCATCGAGCTTCTACCATCTTCATGAACTGGTCTAACGTAAGAGACTTAGCCCAGTCTGCCATGCGTCGTACGTACCCGGCCTTTACAACTACACCATCTAGCCACTTGGTTGCCTTACCCTCGAGGTAAGATGCAGCAGTAACCACTCCGTCCTCCAGCAAGGTCCTCTTGGCCTTCACCCAAACCGGGACTGTTCTCAACCAAGTGTTGAGTTCTTCGTCCTTTCTCTCACCTGAGAAGGCAAGAGGCGGTTTCATTGGGGTCTTAGGATACCATTGACCCTGCGGCTGTCCCTGTTGAGGAACTGGTTGTTGCGGTGGTATAGCTCCCACCGCTGGACCCGAAGAAGAAGATGCAACAGTCTGTGCGGCTGCTGCAGACATACCACTTGGCTGTGTGCCAGCTTGTATGGGAAAGGGGCCTGACATCGTCGATAACGACGTCGACGATTGTGCAGGTGGCCTAAATCCTGGCCTTGTCAGAACGTCCAAGATCTGGTCAAGAGTGCTCTGCATGAAGTCTAATCTGCTGTCCATGTGCACATGCAACGACAACATATTCTTCTTCAGTACTTTCATTTGGTCAGACAATGCTGACTCATCCAAACCCTCTAACTCCGCTTTGTCAGCCTCTAAAGTATCATGCCTGGCTCTTCTATTTTTAATCTCTCTTTCTCTATCGGTTGCTTTCTTCAGGTCCCTCTCTAACTGTTCACGGATTCTTTCGACCTGCTGGAGCTCCCTGAGCTCCCTTTTGCGAGGAGTCAACGGGCTGAACTGCGAGCCCGCCATTTGACTTGTAGACTGACGAGAACCCAACGAACTGGAAGTACCCGTGGACCCTGTTGGCATTCCCAACTGGGTCCCATTGGTCCCAGACAACGCAGCAGAGGATGCTGCTGAACTAGTCATGGCTGCTGCCCTGACTGTTGCTGCAGCCTGTTCCCTAGCTGCGGCGTTTGCTGTTTCCCTAGCTGCTGCTAGTGCACGGGCTCTGCGTTCGGCACGAAACCGTCTTTCGTCTTCCGGTTGTAAGGTCTGGAACACGTGCGGGATCCTACGTGATCTCGCACGTGTTAGTCTAGCATCGTCAACTCTCTCCTCATCGACGTCTGACCCGTTCATCAACTAGGCAAACATTATCTGCACTAGAACCCCCTAGTGGAGTCCTACCACAGCATGTGTCTGACCGACACCTAATTTTCTAAAAATAGTTGTGTCCGGCAGGTTCCCTACTGTACCGATCAAGTGGCACGTCTACAACATTCACAACAGATTGTCAACATGGTCTATGTGTATCCTGATGGGTTCACTTACAGCAACAATAGATAGAACTGGCTATGGTAGCATACAATAGTCCTAATCTAATCTGTCTGTGAGGTGTTAGCAGTCTGTCCACCAACTAATCAAGAATACAAAAGACCATGTTGCAGATGCATGATTGATGGGTATGGTTGTGTTTCCAGTTGAGCACCAATTAGAACCTACCCTCCCCTCAATCGAACATACCGGTAAGCATCATTGAGCGAGCAGTGTCTTCGTGTGTTTTTCGGCCCACCCGTGTGCCCAAGTCATTGCCGAGCAAGCCAGCCAGTCCACTCTTATTTACCCTCGTACGGAACGAGCCTTACACCCGGTTGATCTGGCTGATCAGGAGGAATTTATAGAGCGCCCCCATCTCTTCACGAATTCTTTAACGTCGCAGTCAGGACGACGATCACAGCCAGAATCAACCAAGTCCCCAAACAGAAATGTTTATAAACGGTCTGGTAAGCGTCTCATAAAAGGTTGGCACACCCGGCAGGACTTCTATTTAGCGCAGCAAGTGGCAAAATGGACAGCAGCCATYGCATGCGTGACCTACTCCCATTGGGTTGGCATGGTGACCGTGACCCAGTGCTTCGACCAGGGCCCTTCAGAGGCACCGCCCTTTCTCCTTCCAGATGCTTCCGGGAAGATTGTCGTCTCTCAAGGTAGCGCGCTCACGACATCTCACCAAAAGAGAGGACTCTCAAGTTGGACTCACTTCCTCGCGGTAAGAAGAGATTGAGATAGTAGATATGGTAAGGGAACAACGTACCTGGAGATAGCTGCCCCCAACCACAGATTTCTCACCAATTGAGCTGAGTGTGCATTTGATAACCGGTCCTTGGCCTCGGTACCACCCACAACGCAATGCAGTGCCACCTCAGCCTAATGCCACATCAGCATGCTCTCATCACCAATCATACATTCTGCCCGTCACCACGGCATATACTGCCGTCTTAGCCTTCCAGCGCACCCCTCTCTACCCAGGGCGTGCGCCTATGTGGCCTGGCGTCACAAGTACCAACTGCGAAGAAGCATCGTCAACGCACCAAGTCTGTATAATGCCAGCGTGCCAAAGGTAAGTGGCGAATCATACCAGCTCCGATACCAAATTGCAAGGAACATGAATATGGACGAAGCACAGAAATCCAGAATGCAAAATCACACTGAAGTCCAAGTAGTCAAAGCCAGAGCAGATAGCACAATGGTACCGAGTAACCATCCATTTGAGAATGATACAGAAGAATCGTGAGTCAATGTCCAGGCCCAACAGGGCAACACCAACAGCATAACCCAATGAAGCTCTCTCTTGTGAATGGCGCCATGCGCCCTATCTACTCTACAGACTAAGCCTACAACTACAGCAATGAAAGCAACCAGACAACTTGACTACCAGCGAGTGATGATATCAACACCAATGCCGACCTCCACCTCCACCAGGTACGTGTCCTCTTCACCCACACTTTCCCTTGTTACCCACACAGCGCCCTTCACCTCCGAAGAACCACCTTCGCCCTCACCTCCCCTGCGCCCGCCAGCAGCCCGGCTATGGCCGCCAGCGCCCGGCGCCCAGGCAGCGCACCACCGTATTAGCGCTGCCTGTCTCCCTCATGCCCAACGCAGCTTTACACAGCGCAGCACAACTCGCATTTGTGCAGCGTGCCGGCAATGCCTGCATTGGCCAAGGATCCCTGCCCACTCGCCCTGCTTGCCTATATGCCAGTGCTGCGTGTGGGCGGCCTCCCTTCAGCCTGCGACTGGGCCCCAGTGCCTGAACCCAGGCCCGATGCAGTTGGGGCCTGGGTGATGCAATTGCGCCTCTTTCATCAAGGCCTGCGCCAGATTCAGATAGTGGGCCGCTTTTCCCTTTGGCATTTTCGGCCTCTATACCCAGCATGCATTGTCGGCCTCACGTTCAAGTGCCCAGGGCCTAACTAACTCAGAGGCCCTGGGATCTCCACATTTGCAGAGATTCGAGACTCGGTGCACTCCAACCAACTGGCGTGCTGCAACTGTATGGACCCCACTTCGGGAAATGTTTGCACAGAGGGCTCTTGTTGATTTGCTGGCCCGCCTTCACTTAGGGCGGGCACTAGGCTTCCCCGTCTTGAGGGCTCAATCCTCACACTACTATCGTCTTACCATAAATATACAAATGTTGCTTGTATGGTGTAGTGAAAAAATCTGAAAACGATAAACCCCACTAGTAGCTGAGATTGCTAGGACTTGGATAATCTACCAAATGATTGTTGAATGTAGAAAATATAGGTTGCTTACGACTCGATAGTCGTCTTGCCATAAATATTCAATTGTTGTTTGTATGGTGTTGCAAGGAATATGAGCGAGAGTGATAGACAGAACTACAAGTTGCAAAATCACGAAGTAGTCCACATAGTCATGTACCAAGCAGAGAGCACAACGCACCAGGATACCATCCGATGAAGAGCAATACAATGAGCTCTTGTGCCAATGTCAACGCTCTCTGGCCACACCAACACAGTATCCAATGCCGCTTCTACAGTCTGGCGCCCAGTGCCCAGCCTACACTACTCAGCCTATCTATCCTATCTACGTTCATGTGACTGGATCACATCGCAGTTGAAGACCAACGTATGTGACGTCAACACCAATGCCGACCACCAGCATACACGCTCTAACGTACACGTACGGGGCCTCTCCATACGAAACGTACATGTAATATCTGTATGGTCTCCTACGTTTTGTACGCCCCATACCAAAAAAAAAAAAAAAAAAAAAAAAAAAAAAAATCCGAAAAAAGAAAATGTTATGCAACAGCACAATACAAGCAACATTTGGCTGAGCATCATCTGCAGATTATTATTTGAATTTGAGAAAAAAAATAAAAACAATACCGGATTAAAAAAAAAAAAAGAACTCATACAGGGCCCCTATCGTACAAGTAGCGTACGAGTACAGGAGTACAAATCCGTTCTTGTACGAGGGTGCACAGAAGTGGCAGCGTAGCAGGTACATTCTCTCTCCTCCCCTCATCACCCCTCGACTTCCCACTTCATGTGCCTCCTACCCGAAGACCACCATCACCATCACCTGCCTGCGCCCCTGCAACCCGGCTATGACTGCTGTGTGCCCGCTGCCTCAGCAGCGCCACTCACCTCAGCAACCGTGCACGCATCCGACCAGCAGCGCACATGCAGACACTAGCACAGCCACGCAGCTACGTGTCCGCATTGGCTGCCAAGGCCAGAATGCCGCTGCCTGGGCAGGCCACTTTCCTTTATGGAAAGTGCGGCCGTGTCTGCCTGCGTGGGCCTGGCTGGGGAATTTTCCAGTAGCGTCCAGTCGGGGCCCAGTGTCTGCACCCAGGCCCACTTCTGCTGTTACGCGCCTCGGCCCCTTACAGTTGGGCACGTCCAGGCAGCCGTCCAGGCTCCAACTGTTTGCCGCATTCTCATTAGCTCGTCGAGGTTGTGTGGTGACAATGCTGCTTTCTCATTCGTTCACGGCCACTGCGTGATGTGTCGGCCTCCCAATGTGTGTGCCCAGGGTGCAACCAACCGGGGCCCTGGGCTCCGGATAGAGCCAGGAAAGGCTCACGTTGCTTTGTAACCAACTGGCGTACTGCAACTGTCTGATAGGAGGCCTCATGTGGATATTCAGGCCCGCCTTCACTTAGGGTGGGCACGAGACTTGCTGCCAGAGCACTTGCATGTCTGATAAGGGCCCCATGAGGGCTCATTCCTCGCAGTGTAGTAAAAAAATCTGAAAACGATAGACTACAGCCACCATTCTACAGGGACACCTTACGTCTTCTTTGACAGAACACTCACCTTCCATCTCTGTGAAATGCCGATTTCTCCAATTCTGCAACAATAGTGTCTTCAGCGTCTCCTGGACGATGGCAACTTCCATCCACGCCTTTAACAGTGGAGCACTTGCCGGACGGATCCCTTCCTTTGAATGTACTGCCACACTGCATCATCCGAGAAGTCGCACATCACAGAGATGTTCAATCCTGGCTTCTGATGTCACACAATGTCACTACTGAAGTCGATCAATCAAAGAATGGACAGTCCCACTTCGAATGTGCTTTCCCGGTATGATGTGCGTTATTTATTTAAAGAGGTAACTTGTTCCCTGCTTCGGCTTCAACCAACACAACAGGAGGCAGCATGCATGCATGGGAAGCGATACGCACTCGCGGCCCAACCACTCTCACTTCCTCTACCCTTGTTGCCCAGCGACTACGTTCCTGTTTTCCCAGGCCTTCCTTCACATCCTCCTGGATCACAACTTAGTCCACCTTCATTCCCCATTGTTCATCAATTTTTTGTGACTTTAAATACCACTGGCCCTGATGTCGACCCACACCTGCAGCAATGCCCACAGTGAGTAGGGGGATGGTGGCAGGGCATGGTATATTGGGTGTGCTGAATCTGGCAACGTTCATGCTCATCCTTTATTTTCGTGCTCATAAAAAAAAAAGGACGGAGCATGGCACAGGGATATTATGAGAGAAGCAGTAACATGGATGGTAGCGACAACATAGGCAGCGCAGATGGGAAAATAGCAGGACAATAGGCATCCTGAGGAACTGCCATGGACGCGCCCCCCCCCCCCCCC